GGTCTGAAATACATGTATGTGATAAATTAACTTCATATACAGTAAAATCACATACGTGTGTGTGTGTGTGTGTTTAAATGCGCACGCACGCACAAACACACACACACACACACACATCTAACAATGCTATGCAAGTACTTACGAGAGGAAAGTGAAGCCAGGCGCATTCCAGGGAGACAGGAGGTGAACCTGCTGCCCTGCTCTCCATGGAGACTGCATCTCCTGCAGTTCCTAGTACCTCTTCTGGGGATTAAGGGGGTTGCACTGATGGCATAGAAAACACACATTGGAAGGTTAACACAAGAAAACTGATATATGTACATTTCGATTAACAAATATGAATTTAAAGGACCACTATAGGCATCCAGACCACTTCAGCTCAATGAAGTGGTCTGGATGCCAGGTCCCTCTAGTTTAAAGCCTGCAGCTGAAAACATAGCAGTTCTAGAGAAACTGCTGTTTCACTGAGGGTTAATCCAGCCTCTAGTGGCTGTCTCACTGACAGCCACTAGAGGTGCTTCCGCGATTCTCACTGTGAAAATCACAGTGAGAAGATGCTGGACGTCCATAGAAAAGCATTGAGTAATGCTTTCCTATGGGTGGTTTGAATGCGCCCACGGCTCTTGCTGCGCATTCGGAGCTGATGTCGGCAGAGGGAGGAGTGTTCCCCAGCACCGAGGGAGCCCGGCGCTGGAGAAAGGTAAGTGGCTGAGGTTGGAGAAAGGTAAGTGGCTGAAGTGGGAAGGGGGCCACGAGGGTGGGGGGACCTAATTACCCTATAGTGCCAGGATAACGAGTTTGTTTTCCTGGCACTATAGTGGTCCTTTAGCAACGTACCTTCAGATGTTTCGGCGCCAGTTGTCCCCTCAATCCCAAGAAGGTTGTCTCTTCCCAGGAACTGCAGGAGCTCCTCTTCATAGGGCAGCAGGTCCGGTTCTTGTGAACTGCCTTCTGTCTTCCTGAACTGAACTGCCTTCACCATCCGCCTGATGTCGAGTAACTGCAATGATATGTGTAATTGATTAATTACTTTAATATGTTTCTATATATATATATGTTTACTGACATGTTTAAAGGGATACTATAGGCACCAAGACCAATTCAGCGAATTGAAGTGGTCTGGGTTCAGTGTCCCAGGTCCCTTAACCATGTAAAGGTAACTATTGCAACTGCAATAATTATCTTTATGTGTTAACTCCACCTCTAGTGGCTGGCTACCAGACGGCCACTAGAGGGACTTCTGGGTTGTTAGGAAACTTTTGGTCACCCCTCCATATCCCCCATTCCATGTGTATCACCCCTATTAACCCCTATCCCTGTGTGTCACCCCCACTAACCGTGCATCTCCCTTATTTAACACCACATTCACCTACACTGTGTATGTTACTATACAGTGAAAACTGTGGTACAGAAATCCGTCAGATTTGTAGATCAGATTGCAATATCTGATGGATGTGCTGCACGCATGCACAGTACACCCATCCGATTGCTATATCTGAAGGATGCGCTGCGCGCGTGTGCTGCACACCCACCAGATTTCTATATCTGATAGATGGGCTGCGTGCATGAGCATTACACCCATCAGATTTCTACAGCTGAAAGATGTGCCGAGCGCATGGTCCAGCTGATCGAGCGTCATCAGAGGCGGCACAGATGCTCGCGGGGCCTCCATCAGAATTTTATACCTCGTAGCCTGCTAGCACGCAGCTGATCTCACGTCACTTCTGGTGACATGGGGGTGCCGGAAGTGACGTCAATATAGAAATCTGATAGATATAGATAACTGATAGAACAGCGGCGTTTTGCAACAAGACAGTCTCCCAATGCTTTCCTGTGGGAAAGCATTGGATTTGCTGATCTTGTCAATTATGAAGATCGCAGCCAAGGAGGCAGAGCACAGCTCTGCTATAAGGATGAGTAATTAAAGGGACACTCCAGGCACCCAGACCACTTCTGCCCATTGGAGTGGTCTGGGTGCCAACTCCCACTACCCTTAACCCTGCAACTGTAAATAAATATTGCAGTTTTCATAAACTGTAATATTTACCTTGCAGGGTTAACTCCTCCTCTAGTGGCGTTGCTGAAACCCCCATAGGAAAGCATTGAAAGCATTTTTCAATGCTTTCTTATGGGGAGGTCTAATGCATGTGTGCAGCATTGCCGCGCATGTGCATTAGGTCTCACCCC